AACACCTATCAAAGTGAGTTAGGCTGAACGTCTTCACGGTGCATATGTACTTCTAAATATAACATCCCATCGACAGCTCCTGGGGTCTTCGTACCGCAGAATTTGCTGTGTACCTCTTCTTGGTCACTCTGTTCCCTGACACGCTGCTTCCGGCATCGATTTATGGCTTCGTGACCACCGGCGTGGCGATAATATTGTCTGGATGGGCTGGAAGGCTCGTTGATGAACACCACAACTTGAACGTCGTCCGCTCGAGCATTGTAACAATCAAGCTCGCCGCATGTGCACAGTATGGTGCCACTCTGGCCTTGCTGTATACTTCTGGCCATGCCTCAGGACTGGCACGGCCCTGGTCGTCTCCCCTGACATCGGGGATGTTTACAGTCATCGTGACTGGGGGCTGTATCCACACGATCGCAGGAACTACCATCTCGGTGGCCGTCGAACGAGATTGGGTCACGACAATCGCTGGAGCATCCTCGGCCCACCTCACCACGCTGAACACGTACATGCGGCGGATTGACCTATTTTGCAAGCTCGTGGCACCACTATTTGTGTCTTTGCTCACCAGTGCTCCCTCCTACCGCTTCGCGGCCATCTTCCTTTGCGGAGTTGAGGCTGCATGCATGATTTTTGAACTGCTCTGTACGTGGTGCTTCTAATCCATCGAAAGGCTGTCAATCTCACCGTTCAATAGGGATTACGGTGTCTTACAGACGTTTCCCATCCCTTCAGGAAGCGCAATCTGCGAGAGAAGCAGCTCGTCAAGACCGCTCACACGACTTGCAACATCGGCCAACGGAGCATGCGTCAATGGGCAGGAATCTCGTTCAGGGGGTCTACGCTCGACTGAAGGAAGCTGCCCTCGACTGGCGCGAGTTTGCGCAATACCCCATCTTCCTCTCGTCGCTCGCGATCTCCTGGCTATACCTGACCGTGCTCAGTTTCGACGGCACGATGCTGAGTTACCTGAAGGCACACGCATATAGCGACCCGTTCCTCGCGGGAATGCGGGGCCTGAATGTTGTCGCCGGCCTTGCAGGAACGTTGGCGATGCCTTTCCTGGAGAAGAAGCTTGGCCTGGTGCGCGCTGGAAACTGGAGCATCTGGTGAGTGTTGTGCCAATGGTCTTCGAGGGGCTGCTCACCAGTGTTTTGCTCAGGTCAGAGGTTGTCTGCTTGCTCCCGGTGCTCATCGTGCTCTATGTCGGGGCGCCGTCAGACGGCACGCGAGCACCCGCTTGGAATGCTGCTCTACTCTTTGGAGGTATGTTCGATACCATCAGTCATACTGTCTCCTCGTCTACAGTAGCTCATGTCTCTACCGTAGGGATGATGCTCTCCAGGATAGGCCTATGGGCGTTTGACCTCTGCCAGCTGAAGGAGCTGCAACTAGCACTCGCCACGCATCCCAGGAGGAACTCTCTGTATGCAATCCCACTTCGTGCCGTCACGTATCCGCTCACATCTTATGGACTCAACAGGACGGCGCTCCAGTATTCGATGCAAAATGTCGCCGACATGCTCAAGGTACGGCGCCCTTCGTCGCACGAGCGGCTCATACTCATCTTCCCCTTGCTCAGTATGTCCTCACGATGGCCTTAAGCAAGCCGTCGCAGTTCAAGTACGCGGCGCTTGCGTCCTTCATAAGTGTCGTCGCCGGGGCGTCGACCTATCTCATGTACGTGAAGAAAGAGCGTGGACACGTCCTACACCACAGCGTCGGAGACATCATACCCCTCCTCCGGAAGACCAACTGAGGTGCGATACACCGGCGGGGGCCAAAGCGAGCCATATTATGCTCGACACCCGACACCGTCCGCCAGCGGGATCGCGATACAAACTAGGTTTCTGGACGTGTACGTGTACGAAAACAACAGTGCTATCTCGCATCTGGAATGATATCGTATCAAAGGAGGAGTATGTGTGGTCAAACCGTAAAGGAGAGAAATATCCAGGTATACACAATAGCGGCCGCACGAGCTCACGCATCAAACGACAATTCTGGACACGGACGGCTTCCTGTCTGGGACTGCTGCTCTGAAGAGACCGTGTCCTGGTTCTCATCCGGCATGTAGTCTGTGGTCTTGTCCACGGTGATGTGCACCTGCGGACGCGTAGCGAGTCAGCCGGGCAAGCCACGATGAGGGGGGTGTCTTCGTAGACTCACCCTCGTTCCGACACCAAGGTTGAGTTGGTCGGCGTTCTGAGAAGAAAATAGTTAGTCTCGATGTGGTCTGGAGTGATGACGGATCATGAAACGTACCGAGTCTCGAAGGCCACGTTGGGAGGGGAAGATGACGGGCAGACGGTGTCCACTGGTCGACTGCGACTGACCAGATTGCGCCATCAGGGTCTTGCGAGCGTTCATACTGACATGAGAAGATAGGTGAGCCTAGCACATCGAGATGATTTCTGAATGCTTACGAAGCCAGATACGAGTTCGCATATACTACAGTGGGGGAGTATTGTATTAGGGCAATCTAGTAGAGTAGAAACGGAGAAGTCCACGCACGCTTGCTGATGGCAAAGTGTAGGCCGAGGTAGATCAACTCGTCAGACTTCACGAGCCACTGGGTATCCGGGTAAGTTTCTGGCAGCAGCATGCTACGGCGGAGACAACTCACAAAGATCAGCGATATTAGGGTCGTAACACTGAGTGCACACGTCAGCCGTCAGCGACGCGGTAGTGTATGAAAAGAGGCCTACGAGGTGAGCAAGCCATTCTCAATTGTGTAGAGCGTAACGGTGTTGAGAATATGATCGAATCTGGAGACGTGTGCAGTCGCACTTAGTTGTCGATCGCAACGAGGTCACATGGGGTGAGACTCACCTGCCCGTACCGCCTCTGTGTCGCCGGAGGTAGTAGCAAAGGCCCACGGTGATCAAGAAGTCCACGACCGAGGACAAGACGAGTCCAAGAGTGAAGACCCACTACAAAACTCAGCCATGAGTATCTCATGTCACGCTCCGGTGCAACCACACGTACTCTGAAGCGGTCACCAAAGACGTGGAAGCTGCCTAGACGTATCCTGGGATGTCGCGTGATCAGCCTATCAGTGCAGGGGCGGGGCAAAGCAAACTCACAACTCCACAGCGGTGACTTGACGAGTAGGAGAGCCATCAGTGGGAGTCAAGACGATCGAAGGGCTTGCTCACCGAACGCGGCAACTGGCAGAAGAACCGTCAGTAAGTCACCACCTATGTGACACAATGACATGTCTGCTTACCTACTCGAGCGACTGCCAGGACTGCCTACAAGAGGTGAGCGATATTCCAACGATATCATGACATTATTACTCACTATTGGCACTGTGAGGAAGTAGTTGCCTTTGCTTACTGTGAACGACGATACGCCATCATTGAGGATTCATCGTATGGAACAAAAGGGATCGCAGGTGCCTTACACTTGAACAGACGGATCGAGAAAAACCTGCGGAGGTAGTGCTGAGCCATCACAAGTACGGAGCATCAAGATACCGACTTACAAGTGAACGCAAACAGTCATTATAGCCTGTCCGAGATGAGTTCCAAGCCGTGTCCATGCGAACGGGACGACGTACCGTTAACGCTATCGAAACCTACTCAACAGTCAGAAGACCCACACCCTTAACAGAGGGAGAGCACTCACGCCAACCGTCCTATACACAATCCAGGATGAGGGAATGAACGCCAAGAACACCATGACCCAACACGCACCAGAATACTTGGTCTGTAACATCCATCTCTCCAAAGTGACTGACGAAGTACATGTAGCTTGCAGCCGCTATCATCGAGGAGTGCAACATATCAAGGAAGCTGAACCAAAGCCTTGTAAGGCCTCCTGCAATAGTCAATGATGCACGACACCTACAAAATCACAGCGACCTGCGGGCAGGTACGGCAGATGATGAGAAGGTAGTCCATCTTCGTTCGGAGCCGAGTTGTGGACTTACCTTGAGCTTCGTGGCGTATTGGTCACGAGTGAACAGGCGGAAGTAAAGGACGGTTTGCATGCCGACAATCCCGGAAAGCCTGAACATTACAGTTGAGGATATGGACAATCCGCCCGTGCAGAGTGTAGGCTGCGTACCCTGTGCAGACCATGCCACCCATGAGGAGGGCGCCCAGGCTCGTCCTAAGAGCCGAATCGTCGACATGAACCATCTTGCATGCAGTCCTCCGGGAGGCAAGGAAGGTATGGAGGACAAGCGGACAGGGGAGCAGCGGGGAAGGGAAGAAACACCAACCACCCAGAAGACATCTTTTAATCACCCATCACGGCGGGCTTCGTCGCGCAGGGGACTATTCGTGGGCCGAGAAATTTAGCCATTTAGGTTGGAGATAGTTCCTCCGCCCCGCATTGGACCGTTCGAATGGGGCATAGACGGGGTGGCGGGCTGGAGTCTGCAGGGTGCGCTACAGCGAGAACAGATTGCGCGGTCGTCGAAGCACGATTGGTTTCCCATAATACATACGCGACGGGAGGTCGCAAAATCGGCAACCACATCAAAGGGTCGGTCAGCTACAGTCCGCGCCAGGTCGACGGGCGTTGCTCTCCGGAGACGAACGACTCTGAGCTCACCGAGTTCTCGAAGCCCGAGTGGACTGTGGTCCTCTCACTGTGAACTTCCAGCTTCATGCTGGCTCTCAGACTTCGACCCAGACGGAGAAATAGCCCAAGAATGTCCATCTGTAGCGGAGGACATCCGATCTCGACCGCGTCCTCGCAAGGTATGTTGACGTGGGCGGCCGCCAGCTTCCAGGTATACCATCATGCTTGATAGTGGGACCTGGCGGTGGAATGAACACTAGGATGGCCGCGCGGCTTGCCATCGAAGCCACTGGCAAGGAACAGTAGTGAGCCAATAGCCGTGCAGAGCGACGGAAAGTCGGAAACCCATACCTGTGGTCGGTTCACGATCGTACTTACGGAAATCGCTCGGGAGTTGTGAAGACGCCCGCAGCCATCGAGCATAAGCGCCCTAGCATTGTAACCGCGCTGGCCCAAGACTTCGGCATGGCCTTATAGCTCAGTGGTAGAGCACAGGATTGCAGTTCGTACTTCTCCTGGGGTCTCGTGTTCAAGTCACGATGGGGCCTTTTTTGCTGCTCACGATGTCGTAACCCTCGTACTTAGTAGTAGCTGACTAGTTGGCGCCAAACCGCAGACCTTGGACCTTGACCACCATGCGCCGTGCTGCTGTCCACTCTCTACGCACCTCTACCTCGCGCCGGCATCCATGGAATAGGTCGCTTCACTTGGCACCAAAACCTTCCGACCCGCCTGTCGACATTACCACCCTCCCTAACGGCATTCGAGTTGCAACAGAAAGTACACCCGGTCACTTCTCCTCTGTCGGGCTGTACGTCGACGCAGGTTCCAGATATGAAACTCCATCTACCTTGGGAGTGAGCCACTTTCTGGATAGGATGGCGTTCAAGGTAGAGCAACAGTACTAGAGTGCACGACTTGTTCTCATATGCTTTACTCAGACGACGAAGTCGCGCTCCGAAGAGCAAATGGCCGCGGACATCGACTGCCCTTGGCGGACAGATTCTTTGCTCGTCGGCACGGGAGTCAATCATGTACCAGTCGTCTCACTTCCACAAGGGCACGCAGCTCGCAATGTCTCTCATAGCCGACACTGTCCTCAACCCCGCATTCCTGCCGGAGGAGCTTGATGCGCAGCGAGAAGCCGCGCGGTACGAGCTGCGCGAGGTCAGCGCGAAGCCGGAGATGATCCTGCCAGAGGTTTTGCACGAAGTCGCATACGACAACAAGGGTCTGGGGAACTCTCTGCTATGCCCGGAGGACCGAATAGACGTCATCAGCAAAGATATGCTGGAAAAGTACATGAAGAGGTGGTATCGGCCGGATAGGATGGTCATCGCGGGTGCTGGGATGCAACACGCCGAACTCGTTGAGTACGTGGATCGTCACTTCTCTCACCTGCGCGGTCCCGCACCCGTCGCGTCTACGGTATATGCGGATGCGACGGACGGGGCGGATGGGCAGAAGGGTCCTGCGTCGTCACGCCAATCACAACAAGTATCCCCACACTTGCTCCAGTCATCTCAATCAACGTCCCCTTCATTATACAAGTCACTCACTCGAGCTGCATCGTCGTACTTGAACTACCCTCCACTGCCGAAGCAAGATTCTCCGGTAGAAGGATCGACATACACCGGTGGTCATAGGTTCATCCATGACCCTTCGACGGAGTTCAACCATGTATACCTAGCGTTCGAGGGTGTCGGCATCCACGATGACGACGTTTATGCGGTTGCTACAATGCAGGTGCTCTTGGGCGGCGGAGGCAGCTTCTCAGCAGGTGTGTATATTCCGTCCTTACTCCAGATTGCACTCACTTACGCACACTCCTCAGGCGGCCCCGGCAAGGGCATGTACTCGCGCTTGTACACGCACATCCTCAACCACTTCCCGCAGATTGACCACTGCGCATCCTTCCATCACATCTACACCGACTCCTCCCTCTTCGGTCTCTTCGCGTCGTTCATCCCTTCGAGCGGGCGCCAGAGCAACACCCCTGCGCACATCCTCCCCCATCTTGTGCACCAGCTGAGCTTACTGCTCTACTCGAACATTCCCGGCGCAGAGCTCAGCCGCGCGAAGAACCAGCTCAAGTCCAGCCTCATGATGGCGCTTGAGAGCCGCGCGGTCGAAGTCGAGGATCTCGGTCGCCAGGTGAGTTTCCACGGGTCTTCGACTGGTCCCATTGACTGACTTTGGTTGCAGGTCCTTGTGCACGGACGCAAGATCCCCGTGTCAGAGATGTGCGACAAGATCGACGCTGTTGACAACGCAACGATTCGCCGTGTCGCAGCGCGCGTCTTCGGGCCACGCAGCGCTGCGAAGGCGACTGTGGTGGCTATGGGACGCGAGGATGTCGGAGACTATCGTGGGGTTCTCCGCAAGTATGGGCTTGCGGAAGCGTGAGCGGTTACCAGTGGACTGTTGTGGCTCGTGGGGCACTCGCTTTCGTGTTCGACTTCTCATGCATCATGTTTTGTACTCGTATCCACACATCGTAATCGCATCACTACTACTCCGCATAGTAATTCCCTCGCTTGAACACTGCTAGTGACTGATATTCGGACGGACGTGTCTTAACACCTCAATGAGTAGTCTCTACTGGTGGAGGGTTGGCAGGACGACAAAAAGCTGAACCCTGCCCGGATTGAACGGACGACCTTGAGGATTTCCCAGCTGGAATCTCACGCGCTACCACTGTGCCAAGGGTTCATGTCAACCTTGGCGTCTTTGTTACTCATGGACCGCTCGTACAGACTGCTGTCGCGACGTACACAATCTACCAGCACTAAGTAGCCGTAGCAGCACAGCACACTACAGCAAGTACACTGATATCAACGCTTGCTCGACTTGATACTCGTCCATCGAGCATTCTTCTTCGATACCAGATAAACAACGGACTCCGGACCAGGGGCCATCCACGCCCTGGGCTGGCTGGGTTCCAGGTTCGTCACCAAAAACCGCTGACCCTCGCGGATCTCGCCAGGGTTACCTCCGTCGCTGAAGACCATACGCATGGGGTCCCAAAGAGTGATCTGTGCTGTACGCATGGGCTCCTTTCGCGACCACTGCGCGTCCTTGACGACGACAACGCGAAAGTCCCGGACACTGCGTGGAGGACAGACGTACTGTTGGGACGGGAATGTCAGCATGTACAAATGAGAAGGACTTGATGGGAACCTACTTGAAGTTCCTTCTCAATGTCATCGCCCATCCGCTCTTTCGCTAAGCGAATCTGATCCTCCGTGTAGAGATAGAGATATCCAGCATCCATGTAATTGAGGCGATAGAGCAGTTGAGAGGCCGATGGCCGCGAATCCTGCTCCACGAGCTCGCTGTAAATATTCTCGATATGGTCAGGAATAGGATCTGAGAAGACTTGGTCAACGGTTGGCGCATACAAGGTCACCTGGACCACTCACCATCGGGCTTGTGCTTTCCCTCGAACCGACCACCTGCGATACCGTACAGCCGTTCGGACATCTTCTCGAGCGACTCGATCTGCTTCTCGAGGTCAGCGCGAATCTTAGCGATTGCGTTTTCCCGTTGGGCCTATGATCGTATGTGAGCGGCAGCACCTCCGAGCCAAGAGCTGTACGTACCAGCCATTGATCCTGGGCCTTGAGCTCTTCCTTCTCGTTACGCGGGCCCAACTTGGTGACCGACCCGTCTTCGTTACGCACGAATTCGAGATATGCCACGGGGTAAGCCTGTTACGTAGTCAGGTCCATTACTCGCATTAGCGGATAACCCAAACAAAAGTCTACCTTCTGGACGACTAGATCCATGGCTGGAACAATGCCCCCGTCCGCGGTCAGGCTATCAAGAGTGGCAACGAAGGGCTCCTTCACGAATCCTAACTTCGCGTGCCACGGCGCGAGGTGCGTCGAGTTTCCGCAGAGCTCAAGCCAAGTGTTGTCGTACGCCTCTAGGATCTCGCAAGCTTCTTTGCGATCTCCAGACAACTACAGTTGTACTACTGTCAGTATCAAGGTCATGCTCGTCCCAGGAAGTGCTCACCCTTGATCCCGACACGGCCAACTTCGTGCCAACCCTTATCAGCCCGCGTCGAACCGCCCGAGCCAGAGGCAAGTCAACCTTGGCGCGAAGAAGATACCACCCATCGGTGATCTCAAACTCGGGGTGTGGGTCAACTGCCACTCCATGCTCGTCGATCGCCGGGGGTGACCACATAATGTTGGACACACACAGGACCATAGGACAGATCGCCGGCGCGTCCTCCGTAGATATCAGACGGAGGGCTGGGCGCGAGCCACCATTCAACTCCCGCTCATACCTGCACAGCAGTGTCAGTACAAACATAGACCGAGGGACGATGGCGGCAAACCTGTAGAGGAGCTGCCTCATGACCTCCACCCAGCACCATCGTTTGGTCTTCACATCCTGTTCGCGCTCCGGTTCCAGACATACCATGGCTGCCAGCTTCCACAGGATCAAAGCATAGTGATTAGTGACCCATTGCTGCGTCGCGAGCTTGCATCCGAGCTCTTGAAGCCTGGCCAAGGCATCCTCTGGCCCTAACCTTAGAGCGTCGGGAGGCTCGTCGTCGTCTGCACTCGGAGCCACGGCATAAAATGTGTAGTAGACGGCGTTGGCAGGGGTCATTTGACGCAGTTCGTCGATGTCACTGAGCTGGTGATCAGTCAGAAGCCTACAGGCAAGCATGTATGCGCACGTACATTCCCATGTCCAGCATCTCATCATCAGTATAGGATTGGGGGCGCAATCCGGATGATGCCAAGGTCTTCCTATCGCGACGTGGATCTACGAAAGGCTCTTTAGCTATATGTTGGCCTACAATGAGATGGTAGCTTACTGAGGTCGAAGAACTTGTAGTCCTTCCGAGGCCGTACTTTCGCTGGAGACGGCGGAGACTCAGCAACGTGTGCTGCAATTTGAACCTGCGCGCCCGTCTTCACACGCTGAAGCTCCAGCTGCGTTCTACCGGGATCTCCAGGCGCCAAACCCCGCTTAAACGGTGTCGAGAACTTCCCTTTGCCGACAGACTGCGGCCCAATGCCCCTGCGCGGCGTCATGCCTAGCGACTTGCCCTTCCCCGGCGACGTTGTAGTCGACGCTTTGGAGGGGCCAGATCGTATGGGAGTGACGGGGACGGATTGCGGAAGGGCCTTCGCTGATCCAAAACCAGACGTCGCGGGAAGCTTGGACGTGGACGCGATCTTCAACTCTGAAGGACGCATGGGATTGAGCGGCGAGCTGGCGTGCGCCGCCGATCCAGAGATTACACGGTGCCTATTGACGAGTGGAGATTTGAACTGCGTGTTCTTCATGAGCTGACCATTGCCGATGTCAGTGAAACGGGTCGGGTTCTTCGACGCCAGAGGAGTATCGGGCAGCTGGGCAGGGGAGAAGCCACTGTTCTCCATCGGCCGCAAGGCGGGCCGGAGGGGTGTCTTGATACGCTTGCGCGCTGGGCAATGAGGGAGCAGCCGGTGGTGGCCCTGCAGCGGGAGCATTCTCGACGGAACCGCGACTGGTATCGTAACTAGCCGTGCTGGGGGGCGCG